TTAATGCTCATAGATGGTGTTGCCCAGATGACCTCTAAGCCCTGCTGGATTCCATGGTCTAAAGTCCCTTCTCCTCAGACAGTCTATGTCAGCTGCTATAATAAGCTCTCAGAGGCTGCCCAATAACCTTGCTCTCCAAGGGACAGAGATGGTCAGGGAGAGGCCGCCTTCTTCTGAAGCACCATCTGTGAAGCCAGGCGCCCATGCAAAAGTTAGCCCCACTGCCCGTGGTCAGAAACAAGACCCTAAACCATGGTGGTAGCTTCAGGCCCTAGTTCTTTTAGTGCCAGGGAGAAAGAGTTCTGTAAACCCTGGTGTTCCCAGCCTGTGTTTGCCCATTCCAAGTTTTTCCCAGCTGGCCTCAGCCCAAGATGTTTGCACGAATTTTGCAATGCCCAGAGTGCTGGCTCCTTAGCTCCATCGAAGGTTCTGGCATGCCCACTCGCTTAGGAAACTGAGCCAACAAGGGCCTCCATCCATAACCCTCCTTCTTATTCATTGACCATCAATCAAGGGCTTGGAATTGGCAGCATGGAAGATTGCACAGGAAGCTGGTTTGCCAACCACTTCAGGGTACCCACTTCACGGCAGGTGGTCCTGCATCAGACCTGTCCCCAGGGAAATGACGGACTGGGCCAGCTAGCTGAACGCACTCTTCTGAGGGCTGTGGGTCATAGCCTATGGGTTAGTCTTGTCTTATTAAATATACTGGAATGTCCTCCCGGTTCTTTCTGGCCTCATTGCTCCTTCTCCGGGATTTAATGGTCTGGCAGAGTCGGCTTTCTTGTATGGGCAGCCGTCCCCTGCCTCCTGCCTGGAATGCACTCTCTCCTCACCTCTATCTCGAAGATTTCTTGTTTCAAGGCCCAGTTCAAGCATCACCTCCGTGAGGCCTTTTCTGATCTCCCCAACTACTAACATCTCCCCTCAAAATCATTTTGTGTCTGTGTTGGAGAGACCTATATTCTCTTCCCTCGTTAGACTGTATGCTCTTTGAGAGGAAGGCTTGTTTTACTCCAACATTTGTTCCCCTAGCACCTAGCCCAAGGCTGAGCCCGTAACATGTGTTGAATTGATGCTTGTTGGTGGACTGATCGATAGAACACGGAATCAGCTTTATCCTCCCCCCCCACCCCCTGCTAAGCCTGTCTCAGCACAGAGCATGCTAGAAGAGTTTCATAATTTTCGGTGGCTAAGCCTCTGAAAGAAAGACTTCATCACAGTCCTGGGCTTTACTATGCGGGTCAGGAAGGCTTGCCCAAGAGTTCTCTCCCTTCTGCAATGATCCTGTCTATCTTCCCGTGTTATAGCAGCCCATCCTCAGCCCTACCAGAATGTAAGTTCCTTGAGGACAGGGCTGCTTTTCATAGGGCCCTTGCAGTGCCTTGAACTAGAGTGGGGACCATATGAGGAGAGAGAAGGGATGGATGCTTTCTCTAGCAGATTCCTCTTTTATCATTCTCTCTCTCCCCTCTTCTTTCTCTTCTCTTTCTCATTCTTCTCTCTCCCCTTTCTCTTTCTCTTTTTTCTCCCCTCTTCTTTCTCCTCTCTCATGTCTTCTCTTTCCCCCTTCTCTCTTCTCTTTCTCTTCTCTTCCTCTTTCTCTTTCTCCTCTCCTCTCCTCTCCTCTTCTCTCCCCATCTCGCCCCATCTACAATCTCTATCTACTGCCTAGGAACATACCCAGTCACTCTCATCCTTAGAAAAAATCTCTCCCTAGATATAACCATCCCCTCAAGCTATCCTCCCATACCTCTCCTCCCTCTCACTGCCAAAGTCCTAGAAGAAGTTGCTGCCTTTGGTACCTCCCTTCTCGTACCACTCACATCTCAACCCTTTGCCATCTGGCTTCCAGCCTCATCATTCAACAAAGCCACTGTCTACAAAGTTACCCCTGACCTCTTCGATGCCACATCTGATGGTTTTCTCCATCCTCACATGCCCCCTTCTCTCTCCTCTCATACCCAGCATCCTATTCCAGGGCCTCATCACCTCTTGCTTGGACTAATGCCACAGCCTCTAAATTGGTCTCCCAGCCTTCAGTCCAACATCTACACTGCTGCCAAAGTGATCTTGTTAAAGTCTATCCATATTGTGTTACTCCCCAGCTGAATGAACTTCAGTGGCTTCTGATTACTTACCTTGGGAATCAAATATAAGCAAGCGCCTCTGTTTAGATTTCACCTCCTTTCACTGCCCAGCCCCAACCTACCATTTCAATTTGATGTATTACTGGCTGTTCCCCATGCAGGATGTTCCATCTCCCACCTCCAGGTCTTTGTACTGCCTGTTTCTCATGCCAGGAATGCCCTTCCCACTCATCTCAGTCACTCAGAATCTGTAGTTTCCTTCCAGGTTCAACTAAAGTGCATGTTGGACACGAAGCCACAGCTGATTTCCTGACCCTGCCAACCTCCCCAAACCACTTTGTATCTATTATCTATTATGAGTATGTGTGTGTGTGTGTGTGTGTGTGTGTGTGAGTGTGTGTATGTATGTGTGCATACACACACAGAGCTGTATATTTATATATTGTCTTCTTGTATCTATTGTGTGTATATGTCTATAGACCCCTATGTAGCCACTGAAAATTATGAAACTCTTCTAGCATGCTCTGTGCTGAGATAGGCTTAGCAGGGGGTGGTGGGGGGATAAAGCTGATTCCATGTTGGCTTCCTTGGTTACACTGTAAGCTTCTGGGGGGCAGACACTGTCTCTTGTGTGTCTCTGTATCCCCAGGGCATAGGACAGTGCCTGGTACATAGTGCGTATTGTTGATCGAGAGGGTGCAGACTGGACCTGTGATTTGGTTGATATAGGGAATGTCCAGATGGGAAACTACTTCTGTGAATGCAGGTGGACACCCAGTGGGTGACTTGCCAGGGATCAGATCCTAGTCACTCTGTATCACCAGTGACACCCTGGAAGCTGGCTCTCTAAGGCTCTAAACAAAGTTCCCTCCTTGATTGATTTAAGGAATAATTATTGGTTAGTTCACACCTACTATGCAAAAATCAAAGTGTTGAGGATACAGTTAAAAACTGTCCCTGACCTCAAAGGCTTACATTCATGGGAGGGCCAGGGAAGCCAGGAGCGGACAGAGATAGGATCCTAGATCTGGCCCTGGAAGGAATCCCGGAGGCCAATCATGGTACAGAAGAGGACAGGGAGGCCCCAGGTGGTGTCAGGGCACCCCCAAGGTCACACACAGGTGCCACGGGTGGGATTTGAAGGCAGGCAGAAGTGGGGGGGGGCGCTAACGTTGGGTCAGTTAGGAGTGGAGCTTTGAAGGGAGGGAGCTGGGGGTCCAGCAGAAGTCCTTCCTCCTGCTGCGGTCCAGTGGCAGTCGTTTCAGCGGGGGGACCCTGCATCTCCCTCTGGGAGCTCCATTCGCTCTGGCCGCCGGCGCTCGGATAGATGCTCTGTTCTGACTGGGGATTAGGGAAGGGGCAGAGCTGGGTGGGTCGGGGTGCCCCTCTCGATATCTATCTCCAGCCCCTAGCCCAGTGCCTGGCACTCAATGCCTTTGATTGACCAGTGACTGACCGCTGGATGGACTTTGGGGCGGTTCTGGGGGCTCTGGCACCCTCACCATGCAGAGGCCCAGCCTCAGGCCCCCTCCCGTTCCTCCCAGCCGTCTGTGCCGCTGCCAACGGAGCGCCACGCTACTGGCACGCCGTCTCCCCAGCCTTGGCCGGGGGCCCATCACGCGGCGGGCCGCCGGCCTGTGGAGCGCTGACCCACGGCTCCCGACGGCCGGCCCCGCCATTGGCCGGCTCTGCGGCCCGAACGCGCCCATTGGCCAGGGGCCGGGGGGGGGGCGGGGGCCGGGGCAAGGTTGGCTGGGGGGGTGCCGGCGCCTGGGCGGGGGCAGAGGCTTAAAGGTGCCCGCGGGCAGCACCCCACGGGAGGTGGCCTGGACGCCGGGCGGCTGCACGCACTGGCGCTGGTCCCCGAGGGGAGGGAGCGGAGGCTGCCCCGGGCCCGGCTCCGGACTGCAGCGGCGGCTAGGCTGAGCCGGTAGGTCCGAGCTTTGGGAAGAAGTGCTGGGCAGGGCTCGGGTCAATCCCGCGGATCGTCCAGATCGGCTCGCCGTGGTCCTGGGGCGCAGGAGCCGAGGCGGCGCCAGGAGGAGTGCAGGTCGCTCTCCGCTCCGGGAGCCGCGGGCTCTGCTCTTGGAGTGACCGAAGGCTGGGGGGGGGGGGGGGGGGGGGCGGGCTTGGGACCACCCTCCCTCCCCATCTGCTCGCCTTCGGGGGCCCCAGGCAAGCCCTTTCCCTCCCCCCTCGCTCGCGGGGGCCCCGGGGGTCCTCCTCTGGAGAAGCGGGGGGAGGGAAGGGGCTAGGGATGGGGCAGCACTCGGGGCTCCGTGGAACCCCCACCCCCCACCCACCCTCGCTCCAGATTTTTGTGTCGGGGAGGTCCTGCCCTTCCCATCCAATGCCAAAACAACCAAGGCCTCAGTTTCCACCTCTGTAAAACGAAAGAGCGCGACTAACCGACCTCAGCACCCCCCACCCCAACTACAAGATGCTCAGAGGTGTCCCCTCTGCACCCCACCCCCATCCCCGTCCCGGCTGGGCTCACACTCGCGTAAACCCACACTCACGCACACTTACTCGCCCCGAAGGGCAGTCCCGAGGGCCCAGAAAAGGGTTCGGATCATCCCATCCTCTTCGGTCCCCGACTGGAACGGGCTGCCTCAGTTTCCTCCTGGCGTGGCCTTTGCTGGGGGAAGAAGGGCCCGGGGCTGGGAGCTGGGGGTGGTCTGCCGGCACGGAGCGCTACGCGCGCCGCTCTGTGCCCCCCCCACCCCGCCCGCGGGGCCGTGTCGCGGGCTGCCACCCGGGGGAGCCCGCGGGACCAGTGGGTGGATCAGGAGGGGGGGGGCGGGCCCCCAGCTGCTGCTCCTCCCCCTCCTCCTTCGGCTCCTCCTCCCCCGGCCTCGGGCTCGACCTCCCTCCAGGCCCGCCCGATGCGCACGTAGTCCGAGTCTGGGGCTCAGGCTCCGCGCTGCCCCGGCCGCTGCCTCCCCTCCCCTCCCCCGCGAGAGAGACGGGGTTCCCCGGCACCCAGCCAGGTGAGTGCCGAGGCAGTCCTCCAGGTCGGGATGGGGGAGGGGAGAGCCGATCCCCCCCCCCATCCAGGATCTGCCTGGGGGTGGGGCAGCGTCACAGCTGGCGAGGACGGCCACCGCCAGCCCGGCTGCGTACGGGCCTGCTGAGGTGGCCCGTCCCTGGGCTCCTACCCGGGGGCGGGCCGAAGCACTGGGCCGCCCCAGCGGTGAACAAGTCGCTGCACCTGGCAGCCTCAGTTTCCCGGTCTGCTAGATGAGTGGCTCTCCAGGATCCCTTCCAGCCCCAACAGTTCGTAGAAAGGCACTTTCCGGATGGCAGGCCTCAGTCTACCTCTCCTTTGTAGCTCGAAATGCTGCGCCTTGGGTGTGAGGCTGGGCTCTCTCTGCTTGGGGCTCCCGAGAGATCCGAGGCTCAGGAGGGGAAGCGACCTGCGCCTGTTTGTTAGCTAATTGGTGGCAGTGCTCGGAAGGGAGCCCAGCTCCCCGACTGCCAAGACTCTGGCTTTGGGGGTCTTGTGAGCAGGTGCCTAGTTTCCTGGGATGGTCAGCCCAGTGAGGCCATCCTGCAAAGGGGCCAGCTTCTGCCTCTCAAACGTACAACACATCTTCCGTAAGGAGACCGGGGTTGTGTCGCTAGGAGAGGGGGTGGGGAGAGGACGGCGCTGCAGCCCAGCTGGTAGCCTGCAACTGTCTCTTGGGAGAAGAGTCCTAGAATGGAGGAGCTTTGCTTTCATCTTGCCCCTCCCCCATTTTAGAGATGCGGAGCCCCGAACTAGTGAGAGGCTGTGAGTGGAGTGGGCAGGCAGGGAGCTGGCCTTGGTGACAGGAAGACCACTTACTAGCTGTGTCCACCTGGGCAAAGGGTTTGGTCTCTCTTGGCCTCAGTTTCCAAATCTGTACAATGTGGAGGCTGGACTGAGTGGTTTCCAAGGGCCCCTTCTAGCCCTAAGCCAGCGTTGTGGAAGGATGATGTGGAGTAATTTGAGTGAGTGTTGAGGGAAGGCCAGCTTCAGAATGAGACCAGGCCTCCGAGGAGGATTTGAGGTTGGTGTGAAGGGTAGGTCTACAACGTGGGGGCCACGAACAAGGCTCTGGAACCACAGAAGGGGACCTCCCCTCAGAAGTTGCCACTGTACTTCGGGGATTCTCCAGAAGGGGCCTCTGACTTTGGAAATAAAGTAGATACTGGAGGTCAAGGGCCCATATATGGCTGACAGCCCAGCAGGGCTGGAGGAAGGCTGAAGGAGGGGGAGCAAATGGAGATGCCCGGTTTTACTTGGCTGGAATCCTCACTGCTGGGCTTATCTACTATCAGAGCAGCCCTGGTCTGTCATCTCCACTGTCCCCTCCCCCACCAATCAGACAACAAGCATTTATCAAGCCAGGCACTGTGCCGCCAGCATGCCCTCAAAACAGCTCCTCTGGAAGGGTGAAAACCAGGGATAGGTGTTTAGGTCTGGGTAGTGCCAGAGCTGGTGAATGGGGCCAGACAGCAGCCTAGCCATGGGAGTGCAGTTTTGCTCACTGGACCCAGAGCCAAGGGAGGAAGAGGGTGGTGAGGGACGGCAGCATTCTGGATGTGGCTTGAGCTTGATATGGACAACTGGCACCGAGGCGGTTCTCAGGGCCCATTCTGAGGCAGAGCGGGCCCAGAGTAGCACGGCTGGTGAAATGCTTCCCAATTGAGGTCTTTTATTTAGCCACTGGGAGGCAGCTCTTCTTATCAGACAGACTTAGTCAAGGTCTGTGGCTAGGCAAGGGTTCCCAGGGCTGCCTGGGAGACTTGCTTAGGCTGTCCTGTCCATTTGCAAAGAACCATGAAGCTTTGTCTACACAGCAGGAGGCAGTCTGGCCCGGTGCCACGGGAACCACATTTTATAGAAGGCTGTCAGAATGGGCTGTCTTAAACGTCTACCCTGTTCCAGGACTTATGAATCAGGGCCCTTGGAGACTGGCTGGCTGGTCCAATCTCCTTTCCCGTCTACAGGGGGAAACTGGGGCCCACAGACGGGCGAGAGATTACACGTTGAGTGAGCAGCTGAGATGGATCTGGGACCCAGGTTCCCTGATTCCCAGCCCAGGACAGTTTTCACTAGAACATGCTGTTCTTGTGACCTGGGTAGGACAGTAGGCGTGGCAACTGAGAGATGTTGGTGCATGTAGCCCAACCCCCGAAGAAGGATAGTGGGACCCAGAGAAGGCCCTGAGTAACAGTGCTAGGAAGGAAGGATGGAGGAATGGATGGATGGATGGATGGACAGATGGAGGGTTGGCTGGCTGGCTGGATGGACAGACAGATGGATAGATGGACAGATGGAGGGCTGGTTGAATGGACAGATGGTGGATGGATGAATGGATGGACAGATGGATAGATGGATGAGTGGATGGATGGATGGAGGGATGGATGGATGGATGGATGGATGGAGGGACAGACAGATAGATGGATGGACAGACGGATAGATGGATGGACAGACAGATGGATGGATGGATGGACAGATGGATGGCAGGCAGGCAGTAGGGAAGAAAGCCTGGGTTTGAATTTGGGTTCTCTGCCCCTGACTCCTGGGCCCTCTGGCTCTCTGGTACAAATAGGTTTCTGGGTTTCAAGGAAGTCTTCAAGCCTTGGGTTCATTGTCAGGGGGGCAGGACCTTTGCCTGAGTGCAGACAGCATCGTCTGGGGCTGGGGCGGGAATGTTTGAGGCCTAACAACAGAGCAGATAAGGCTGTCAAGGCTCTAGGAAGGCCCCCTTCCACCCCATCCTGTCCCTACTTAGACCCTGCTGTGGCTTCCAGCTCTTATTGAGACACCTGGTCACGAGGGGACCTAGTAGGGAGGGTGTTGAAAAGTGCATTCCTTGCTGGCCTCACAGCTGCTTGGCCTCCCTCTGGTCACAGTCCCCAGGGCTAGAAGGGATGTCAGTCTTACAGGAAAGGAAACTGAGGCCCAGAGAGGCGAAGGAATCAGCTAGATGGTGAAGTGGATTGAATAGCGAATTGGCCTGGAGTCCAGGAGAACTGAGTTTGCACCCTGCCTCTGACATTTAGTAGTAGTATGATCCTGGGCAAGTTACTTGAACCTCTCTTGGCCTCAGCTTTCCTGTCTACAAAATGGGGATAATCGTAGCAGAGTCAAATGAGATATCCACATATGGAGCATAGCTATATCACCCATGGTCAGGCAGCAGGAAGGGCCAGAGCCAGGATTCTGCCCACTTCCTTCTTCGTGGAGCTGCTTTGGAGCCTGGCCCCAGCCTGGGGCCCGTGGGGAGGGGGCAGGTCTTCACTCTGGACTTCTGTCCACACCGACATCCCTACTCCAGGCTGGTCTCTCATGGGCTCCCGTCGTCTTGGTCACACCCAGGGTGGGATTCTGGAGAGGCAGAAGACTTGGGTTAGAATCCTTCCTTAGACAGTTCTTTGCTGTGTGATCTGGGCAAGTCATTTAAGCTGGGCCTTAGGTTTTGTGGTCGCTTGCTGTGACAATGTGATGTAATAGATAGCTAGGGCCATAGACTCAGACTCAGGAAGGCCGGGGGTCAAGCTGACCCCAAGCCTAGTGCCCTGGCCAAGCCAGAGTAAGCGGGAGAGGGAGAGGACATGGAGCATGGGAGCAGGACCAGGGCTACTTTGAGGGGGTCAGCCGCCCACCTCCCCCCCATGGTACCCAGAGTGGAGGGCTCTGTGGAGACAGAAGCTGCCGGGGGCAGAAGGGCAGGGAAGAAAGGTCCCTGGAGCCTGCCGTCTGGTGGAGCTGCCAGTCTCCCAGAGTGGCCCCCTCACTAGAAGGGAAGAAACCAGGGATGCCTAGAGAGGGATGAGTTTCCTAGGGTCACATCGAGAGCAATCACAGCCTCTGTCTCCAAAGCTGTGGCTCTGGGTCCACCGCCAGGCCGCCCCACCTGTGGGCCTCAGAGGGAGAGGGGCTGCTGCCCACGCTCAGGGAAGTGCCATCAGCGGGGGGCCCAGACATGCCTCCGTCCATACCTATGGGAAGCCAGGGCAGGGGTGGGGGTGTGCCACCCAGCAGGTTTGTGATAAGAACGGACACGGCAGGAGACAGAGGCCAGAGAGGGAGAGGGCCTTGCAAGGGTCACACGGCTAGGAAGCGTCAGGCCGGGATCTGAATCCACATAATCCCGTTGTCCAGCGCTCTGCCCAGCTGGGGCACAGGGAGGGCTCCAGGGTCTCCCCAAGACTCAGGGCCAGCCAGCAGAGCAGGAAGGCAGGCACTGCCTGATGCAGCAGAGAGAGGGACCCGGGTGGCACCCTGGCATGGCTCCCGTGCACCAGGGAGCTCCCTGGGAACTTTCCTGGGCCCCCTCCGTTTTCTCAGTTGTAAACTGGGGGCATTGGGCCAGGGAACCTCCGACGCCTTTCCTGCTCCAGAGCAACGAACTTTGAATGGCGAGCCAGGCTGTGTGCCGCTCAGCAGGGGCCCTCTCTGAGCTTCAGTTTTCACTGTTCTCACCCCCACTTCCTCTTGTAAACCCTGAGGCAGAATCTTTGTCCTTGGTCTGAGGCTCAGTCCCTTAGGGCCAGCCATCGGTCCATTCCCCTCTTTTTACAGAAGAGGAAACTGAGACCCAGAGGAGGTAAAGGACTTTCTCGAGGTTGTACATAGCAGAGTTTGAATTGGAACCCAGGTCTCCCAGTCCAAGTACCCCAGCCTTTCACAGTGCAAGGGGCGGGGCAGGCCCTGGGCCCGATGCCAGCCCCATCCTCCCAGCCTGGGCTTCTGGGCTTTCTGCTCTCCCCTGAATCCTCCTCTGGCCACACACACACACACACACACACACACACACACACACTCTCTCTCACATATATACTCTCACATATACAATCACACGCATAGACACATATTCATGCACATTCATACATATACACAGTCATACACGCTTATTTACACACATTCATATTCATACCCACACACACATATACACTTATTCACACACACTGTATTCACACACGCAATCACACACATTCATACACACTTATTCACACACTCAGTCACACACACTCAAACACACATATAGGTGCACACACACACTCTTATCCACACATTCATTTTCACACAATCACACACTCATTCACACACACAATCACACATGCTCAAACACACATATAGGTGCACACACACTTATTCACACACTCATTTTCACACAATCACACACTCATATTCACACACACAATCACATATGCACACACAATCACACACATTCATACACACTTATTCACATACATACTCATATTCACACACACAATCACACACACTCAAACACACATACAGGTGCACAACACTCTTATTCACACATTCATTTTCACACACACAATCACACATGCTCAAACACACATGTAGGTGCACACACACTTATTCACACACTCATTTTCACACACACTCATATTCACACACA